ATGACGTTAACATGTGCGGCAAAACGTTTTGGTGTGGTGCGATTTTTTTTTTTTTTTTTTTTAAATGATGCAGGTACCTTTTTTTGCACATGCTAAACAGTTAGCACTTCCTGGCAGTACTCGGGTCATTGGTTCGAATCCCAACCACAGCACCAACTGCCTGGGGGTTTGCATGTTCTCCCTGTGCCTGTGTGGGTTTAGTGAAGAACAGCACAGTGGCTAAATGGTTAGCACGTCCACCTGGCAGTTCTCGGGTCATTGGTTCGATTCCCAGCCACGGCACCACCTGCCTGGAGTTTGCATGTTCTCCCTGTGCCTGTGTGGGTTTCTTCTGGGTACTCCAGTTTCCTCCCACACTCCGAAGACATTCTGGTAGGTTAATTGGCTCCTGTCTAAATTGTCCCTAGTATGTGTATGAATGAATGTGAGTTAGGGGGACCTTAGATTGTACACCCCTCCTTGAGGGTTAGGGACTTAGATTTAGATTGTACGCCCCTTGAGGGTTAGGGGGACTGATGTGAATGTACAATATATATGTAAAGTGCTGCGTAGCTAAATGGTTAGCACTTCCGCCTGGCAGTACTCGGGTCATTGGTTCGATTCCCAGCCACGGCACCACCTGCCTGGAGTTTGCATGTTGTCCTTGTGCTTGCATGGGTTTCCTCCAGGTACTCCGGTTTCCTCCCACACTCTAAAGACATGCTGGTAGGGTAATTGGCTCCTGTCTAAATTGTCCCTAGTATGTGTATGTATGAATGTGAGTTAGGGACCTTAGATTGTACACCCCTTGAGGGGGTTAGGGACCTTAGATTGTACACCCCTTGAGGGTTAGGGACCTTAGATTGTACGACCCCTTGAGGGTTAGGGACCTTAGATTGTACACGCTCCCTTGAGGGTTTTAGGGACCTTAGATTGTACGCACCCCTTGAGGGTTAGGGACTGATGTGAATGTACAATATATATGTAAAGTGCTGTGTAAACTGACAGCGCTATATAAGTACCAGAAATGAATAAATGTCTTGTGCATTGAGCAGCGCATTGAAATGAATAGGTTGCCCTAAATTTGATCTGTGGAGATGCATAAAAAAAGTGCTGGTAATCCCTGAGGCTCTGTGGTGTGAATGGAGCCTCAGGGATTACCAGCAAGTGGGGGGGGGGGGGGGGGGGGGGGGAGGGGGGAGGTACCGATACTACATAATCCCTGTGTACTTCCATAACATTGTTTGGACATGTGTAGTTTGCCCAGTGTCCACAACTGGTTCAAGCAAAAATACCCCCCCTCCAAAAAAAAAAAAAAAAGGAAACAAAATGGGTCCCCTGGAGCGTTTATATTATATTTTTATATATATCAGCACATTATAGCAGACTTTTCTGGATAGCGATCTCCTCCAGCGCTCATGTGTGTCACAGGTGCTTCCATCTTCTCCCAGTGTTCCGACTCCCTCGACTGTTTGGCTAGACTGCGATGATATCATTCCCATACATGCACAAGGGAGTCCCACCATCACAGCACAGATCAGTGCTGTAAATGTACGCCGAGCTGCGCATGCGAGGCCCAGCCTACACAAACGCCGACAGGCAAAGAGAAGCAGTGAGACCAATAGAGTCTCTTCTATTATAAAAAAAATCTGTTTTTTGTATTTTCCTTTAATTATAAATTGTTGATAGAGCCAGGCGGGGGGGAAACCTTCTGGGTATTGTGGTTCACCACCCTCGGCCAGTCCTAGAAAATCCCAGCTAGCCTATGGTCTCAATGGTACACTCACAGGTTGGCCTGTGCTATGGCTGCCTGTGAAGTGTGTGTCATCTGGTCAATCAATCACATGGAAGACAAGGTCACAGACTGAAACAATGGAGATCTCAGGTTTGCTTTTACATTTCAGTAGTGGGATCTGTTGTTGTTCAAAGTCTGAAATCTACATATCTGGAGCTCTTGTCCTGTCTAATTATTTACCCTGGTTCACATATATGCGGCTGTGCGGGTCACGTTTTGCAGGGGCACGAGAGCCCATTCATTTGAATGGATTCCCGGGCCCCGTGACACGCAGGGAAGAAGTCCCTGCACTTCTTTGGAAAACGCAACCTCAGTTCCCAGTACGGTTGCATTTTCCAGTGCGGGCAACGTGCTATTAGAACTAATGGCCCTGCCCACGGGTCCGCATTCCTCTGTACGGGTAGTGCGGTTGCACGGATTTTCATGCAGATCCGCAGCGGCACCACCCGCACAGATGTGAACCAAGCCTTAAAGTGTCTGAAACCAAAATGAATACAGCATAGACGTACATAGACCTACATCCAGATGTTGGTGAGCTGGACACACATTGGAAGCATGATCCAACCACCTCTGGGCTGGGCTGTTCCCATTCATGTATAGGGCTTATGCATATGGCTGCCTAGGGCCATACAATGTAAAGTCCGGGCATATTCCCCCACCTGGGAGCCACCGATGCTGTAGTGGGGAGTGGCTTAATTTTGATCCATGTATGGGCTCCCTGGTTGTACACAAGTTGACCTATTGATCGACACGATCAGCCTATCTGGTTTTTCCCGATCAGTGCCACCGGTAAGGCTCCCCTCTGGCATAATACAATAGCTCAGCGGGAGTGATGAGGATATGGATGGGGGAATCATTTCATTTTTGTCTTGTGAACCCCGCTGGTTGAACAAAAAAAAAAAAGAATTGTGTAAGGTCCGCCTTAGGCCTGTGGAGAGAGAGACGCCTTTGATGGTAGCAGTTTATAGTACCAGGGGAACCTTTAGGATGAGGCTGATACTATTCCCCCATTGAGCTTTCTTTAGAGGTAACTACCAGTAGCTTCTAGACCAGGGGTCTCCAAACTTTTATTTATTGTCCTTCAGACTTTAGGGGGCTGGACTTTGGCTATCGGAAGTAGAAAATGTTCTATTGTCAGTTGGAATAGACAATGCCCCATCTTTGATGTCAGAGGAAGAAAGAGCGCCCCATCGTTGGTGTCAATGGGAGGAATTGTGGCCCATCATTGGTGTCGTTGGGCCCCATCTTTGGGGTCACTGGGAGGAATTGTACCCCATCTTTGGTGTCATTGAGAGGAAATGTACCCCTTCATTGGTGTTAGTGGGGGAGAATTGTGTTCCATTGTTGGTATCAAAGGATGAAATAGTGCCCCAAGGGCCAGATAAAAGCAGGCAAAAGGCCGCAGTTTGGACCACTGTTCTAGACCCTATGTGGTTGCCCAATCCAACTAAAAATGGCCAAACTGGAAGACTCTGGATACATATAGACCGAGGGATCTGATATCTCTGGGTACCTATCAGAAGGCGGACTGACCATTTGGAAATTCGGGCACTGCCAGAGGGCCGGGGTCAGTAGGGGGCCCCATGAGATGCTCCTGGTACCTTTTTCATAGGCTTTTTTGAGTTTGGGCAAGGACACGGGCCCCATGATCCCCCTATTGCCCGGGGGTTCCATGAGTTATCAGTTCGCCCCTGGTACCTATAGCCCCAGAGATCTGATGTCTCTGGGTACCTATAGACGTGGATTAAACACTTTAGATTTGGAACTGGAGAAGTGGCTTGGAGAAGCTACAAAAATATTAGGACAAATCCAGTTGAATGTGACTAACTGCTGCTAGCTACTGGTGTTTAGGCAGGCCATAGACCATGGGTTGCAGAAAAAATAAAATAATTTGATTCCCCCATCAACACAGTCAGTATTGATGGGGGAATCCCACCTTTTGGAGCTATTGTGTTCTTTCAGCAGGGATGGGGGAGCCGTCCCTGCCGGCTATAGCTGCTTCCAAAAATGACGCATGCTAGAAACATGCTGGCTGTACCCAAACTGATCCTTTGACTTGGGTACTATCAGCCTGCCCATACATGGATCAAGTATTGTCCGGCCCCTGCTGAGCTTCCTGAGATTTGAACCATCTATGGCCGGCTTTAGTTATGAGTTGCATAGTGAAGTTCTGTATTCTTGGCAGACGGGTTTTCTGGGTTTGTCCTAGATCGGCCGGACTGACTCCCGAGTTCTCCATTCATTTACTCCCCTCCAACATGCCTGTGGTTAGTGGCTATCCTATGTTGATGGCTACAGGCTCACCCCATCTGCTTTGTGTCCTTGTGTGCATTCCATGGCAGACCGTGGCCCTACCGCCTCCGCGTCACACTATATTAACATTTGCACATGTGAAATTCCTGTCATTCGTCTGCCAGCAGTCCACAGATCCATTTCTTCGTCCGAATATCTGTAGACCGTCCCGCGTCACAGTTACTTCATACAAAGTATGGACACGGGGGCATCATGGGTAGGGGTCTGCCTACAGAACAGCAGCAATGTGATGATGGAGACACTTCAAATATATTCAATATTTACTGGTTGCTTGATGGTTTTAAAGTGTATGTAAAAAAATTTCTCTCATTTTGAATAGAAAAGGTTTGGGCCTTGGAGATATATCAAAGTTGAACTTCGACCTCCCCTTAAGTCTTTTTTTTTTAACTGTTAGGCTCCATGCACCCTGGGGGGAGGGGGGTGTTTTGATAACGCTGGTAACGTTAGCTGTGTAAAGTCACGTTAAAAACTGGAGTTTTTCAGTGTTTTTTTAGTGTTTATGCATGAGCAGTTTTTCGCATTTTTTCACCTTTGCGTTTTGTCACTTTTTTTTTTTTTTTTTTTTTACCCCCCCCCCCAATTTTTTTGGGTTAAAAAAACCGTCCAAAAATGCTGGTTTGCCGCATTTTGCTGTGGTAGAGTGTTTTTACAGCTAACGAAACCCACTAGTCCTGAGTTTATTTTCCAGCTGAAAAATGCCCCTGCCAAAAAACGTTGATTCCTGTCTATGTGTGCATGGACACATAGGAGAACATGCTGGGGATGGACACATAGGATAACATGCTGGGGATGGACACATAGGATAACATGCCGGGGATGGACACATAGGATAACATGCTGGGGATGGACACATAGGATAACATGCGGGGATGGACACATAGGATAACATGCTGGGGATGGACACATAGGATAACATGCCGGGGATGGACACATAGGATAACATGCCGGGGATGGACACATAGGATAACATGCTGGGGATGGACACATAGGATAACATGCTGGGGATGGACACATAGGATAACATGCGGGGATGGACACATAGGAGAACATGCCGGGGATGGACACATAGGATAACATGCGGGGATGGACACATAGGATAACATGCTGGGGATGGACACATAGGATAACATGCCGGGGATGGACACATAGGATAACATGCTGGGGATGGACACATAGGATAACATGCCGGGGATGGACACATAGGATAACATGCTGGGGATGGACACATAGGATAACATGCTGGGGATGGACACATAGGATAACATGCTGGGGATGGACACATAGGATAACATGCTGGGGATGGACACATAGGATAACATGCCGGGGATGGACACATAGGATAACATGCGGGGATGGACACATAGGAGAACATGCGGGGATGGACACATAGGAGAACATGCCGGGGATGGACACATAGGAGAACATGCTGGGAGGTTTACTGGCTGTAGAAAAAACCGTCAAAAGCCAAAAAACAGCCGCTGTAAAAACGTCCCGTGTGCATGAGGACTTGTACCGGCTCCTCTCCTGAACTGAAACTGCTTACTCTGATTTCACTGCACACTGTGAGCTTCTCACAATGTGCATTAGAAGCTGCAACAAGTCACATAGAGCCCGTCTCATTTTCTTACTGGAGGATGTCCAGCATCATCCAGCACTTTCCTCCCCAGCCTGACTGTACCTGGCTCATCTCTTTCATTCATTGGATTTCAGTTCTTTCAATCACGGAGGCAGCTGTCCAAGGCCAAAAGGCAATACCTGTCACATAGAAGATCAAAGGGGTCACTAAAAGTGGCCAGTCAGAGTGCTTGTCATTTTACTGAATTGGGAAAATGTGTATATTAGGGAAGGTTCTTTTTGGTTAAGTTGTGGCAGAATATTCATGCAATCCTCAGACACCTTCAGGGGACCCACTTTCTCCTTCATCAGACACCTTCCGAGGACCCACTTTCTCCTTGATCAGACACCTTCCGAGGACCCACTTTCTCCTTCATCAGACACCTTCAAGGGACCCACTTTCTCCTTCATCAGACACTTTCAGGGGACCCACTTTCTCCTTCATCAGACACCTTCCGAGGACCCACTTTCTCCTTCATCAGACACCTTCCGAGGACCCACTTTCTCCTTCATCAGACACCTTCCAAGGACCCACTTTCTCCTTCATCAGACACCTTCCGAGGACCCACTTTCTCCTTCATCAGACACCTTCAGGGGACCCACTTTCTCCTTCATCAGACACCTTCCGAGGACCCACTTTCTCCTTCATCAGACACCTTCCGAGGACCCACTTTCTCCTTCATCAGACACCTTCAGGAGACCCACTTTCTCCTTCATCAGACACCTTACGAGGACCCACTTTCTCCTTCATCAGACACCTTCCGAGGACCCACTTTCTCCTTGATCAGACACCTTCCGAGGACCCACTTTCTCCTACATCAGACACCTTCTGAGGACCCACTTTCTCCTTGATCAGACACCTTCTGAGGACCCACTTTCTCCTTCATCAGACACCTTCCGAGGACCCACTTTCTCCTTCATCAGACACCTTCCGAGGACCCACTTTCTCCTTCATCAGACACCTTCCGAGGACCCACTTTCTCCTTGATCAGACACCTTCCGAGGACCCACTTTCTCCTTCATCAGACACCTTCCGAGGACCCCACTTTCTCCTCATCAGACACCTTCCGAGGACCCACTTTCTCCTTCATCAGACACCTTCCGAGGACCCACTGTCTCCTAAGTACCCTGACATCTACCTTGTCTGTACCTCTGTCTTATGGATTGTTGCTGAGCCCAGTAAATCTCTCTCTGGAACTATTGTACTTGTTGCTGTGGGAAAATACATTTTATAAATACACTCATCATTCTCATGTGATAAATGACAACAGATTGCTGGCTACTGCAAGACAACAATGGACAGGGCTGGGACAAGGGGTGGGCAGGAGGGGCAGCTGCCACGGGCACAGCGGACCAAGGGGGAAGAGAATGGAGACTGGCGGTAAACCCATTCTATGGCATGCATTAATAGTGGGGCAGGTGGTGCAGTTACGCATCCTTGCCCAGGGAGCTAGACAAACCTGTCCTGGTAAGGCATGTGGGCATTGCCTAGAGTGGTCTGTATGCCAGTACAGCCCACCTAGGAACACCTACTCCTCCAAACTGGCACCCAACTAACAAGGCGTTTTTGGTAATTGAATAAATCCTCCCAAGAGGCAGCCCACTGCTTACATTAGGACTGAGGGCCCTTGAGAGGCCAGGTGATGTGGTGTGTTCAGGAAGCTGTGTACAGCCTCTCCCACCAGCAATACTTGCCTTGCATAGAGAAGCACAGAGGCTCAGTGATGATGTGTCTAAAATAAAGTATTTATTTAAAAATGAATTAGCATGTTGATGAGTAGGAAGGGAGGAGATGGGGGAGGCAAAATCTAAGCAGAATGAACTTCATTTGTCTGATATTCTCGGCATGTGTAAGGGGCTTAAAAATGATCGTTTTTTGCATGCTAGTCTTATATTGATAATAAAAAGGTTACTAAAGTTCCAAAAAATTCTTTTACAACACAATAAAAATTCTGAAGTGATGTAATGCATTTGTATTGTATTTTCTGATGAAAAGTGTACTGATTAAACGAAAATTGTACGATCTGGTATAGTACAAAACACTTTTTGTGCTTGTTCCTTCAAATAATTTTGGACAAGAGCTGTGCACTAACAATCAGATTATTACTTTTTTTTTTTTTGTACGATTTTCTGATCATGTGTATTAGGCTTTAAAGGTATTCCCTCATTGAATTAAAAGTGGTAAAGCAAGCGTCATTATGGTCCCTATTGGCTGGCACAATAAACGGAGAGCCATTGTCTCTTTGACCCTGTCTGGGAGGGGCCATTCTCCTATAATGACTGTTCATTAATCCTGAAGCCCCGTACACACGACCAAAATATCATACGAAAAATGCCGCTTCTAAAGCGATCGTACGATAATCTGATCGTTCATACACAGCAATTGTCAGAAAAAAAAAATAGAAGAGACAAGCACGAAAATTTTTATCGTATGATACTGGATTACGATTTTCATTTAACCAGTACAGTAGTCCGAAAATACAAAATACATGACATTCTTCAGAAGTTTTATTCCCTCATTAAAGAATTTTCGTAACTTTAGTATCCTCTTCACTTTTGATATGTGACTAGCATGCAGAAAACACAGACGATCGTTCGTCCAATATTCTCAGATGGGATTTTTTGTGACCGATGGTAAAACAAATCTCAATGCCTGAACGCAATTTTTCTGCTTTGACATGTGTTAGTAAAACTGTACATGTCTGTATCTAGGTGTATTATACCGTGTTTGTTTCAGGACAAATTGAGCTTTCTTTTGGTGTTCAATGGTAACAGATCTCTCCTGTTTTTAATTTTTTTTTAATCAAAACTGTCCCAAAATGGTAAAAAAAAAAATCTTTTTTTAAAATGTAGCTGTATATTTCTTGCTACTACCATAACCTACCACCAAAAAAAACCCCAAAATAAATTCTCCTGCTCCTAGCAATTGCAGTGATGCCACATATGTGTATGTTAATTGCTCTTTGTACCCATAGTATGGCCCAGAAACAATAGTGTGCATTTTGCTTTTTTTTTTTTTTTTTATTCTACCTAAAACAGACAGATACTGATAATTTTAAAGATCTCCTAGATTGTAAGCTCCAAGGAGCAGGGCCCGCGAACCCCTCGGGTATTGTGTTGTTACTGTACTGTCTCATGTTCTGTCCCCACTATAATGTACAGTGCTGAGCAAACCTTCTGCGCTATATAAATACTGTATAATAATAATAATCCTTTAACCCCTCGCCTACAGGGCACTTTTACCCCCTTCCTGTCTCGGCCAATTTCCAGCTTTCAGCGCTGTCACACTTTGACAATTGCGTGGTCATGCAACACTGTACCCATATGACATTTTTATCATTTTTTTGTGACAGAGCTTTCTTTTGGTGGTATTTAATCACCTCTGGGATTTTTATTTTTTCTTAAACCAAAAACCACAGAAAATTTTGAAAAAAAACAAACAAACATTTTCTTAGTTTTTGCTATACAATTTTGTAAAGAAATGATTTTTCTCCTTCACTGATGTGCGCTAATGAGGCTGTAGTGATGGGCACTGATAGGCTGCACTGATGGACACTGATAGGTGGTACTGATGGGCACTGATGAGGAGGCACTGGTAGGTTGCACTGATGGGCATTGACAGGCATCATCGATGGGCACTGAAAGGCAGCACTGATACATGACACTGATAGGCGGCACTGACTGGCACTGATAGGCGGCACTGACTGGCACTGATAGGCGGCACTGATTGGCAGCACTGATAGGTGGCATTGATTGGGATTGATAGGTGGCACTGACTGGCACTGATGGGTGACATTGAAAGGCAGCTCAGATGGGCACTGATATGTGGCATTGATGTGCACTGGTAGGCACTGATATGAGGCATTGATGTGGCACTGATGAGCACTGACAGGTGGCTCTTCTGGGGCCACACTGATCATCAGGGCACACTGATCATCAATGCCCTGATAATCAGTGTACATGTCCCCTCCACGGAAAGCCGATTACCGGCTCTCCTCTCCTCTGTCAGTGTGACAGCTCGAGAGGAGAGAAATGGCGATACCAGGCATTTCCGTGTTTACATGTGATCAGCTGTGATTGGACACAGCTGATCACATGATCGAGCCGACATCTTCAGCTCTTTCCGTGATCCGCTGTGTCCGAGGGACACAGCAGACCGGCGGTCGCCGCTCTGCGCACTCCCTGAGCCGCGCATGCGCAGTGAGAATGGTAGGACGTCATATGATGTCCTATCAGAACGAGAGAACCACCTTGCGCCCGTCATTGTGCTATAGGGCGGGCGGAAGGTGGTTAAAAAAAAAAAAAATCCGTCCCAAAATTTACAGACACTAACTTTTGACCTTTACTTGACCCGAAAACTAACCCTGGCATTGACCTAGATCAAACCTTGATCTAGGTGTTTTTTTCTTTATTTTGTATTAATATTAAATATATATATATAATTTTTTTTTTTACACACACATTTGTTTACTTTCTGCAATGAGAGAGATACAATGCATCTCTCTCCCATTCAGAGAGAAACAAAACACAGGGACAGGCTGCACCGTTATAGCCAATTCGTTTTTATATTGAAAAAAATATAAACCCCAGTGGTGATGAAATGCCACAAAAAGATAGCTCAATTTGTGTGAAAAAAATGATATAAATTTTGTTTGGGTACAGTGTTGCATGACTGAGCAATGACCAGTAAAGTAGCGCAGTGCTAAATAGCAAAAAATGGACTGGTCATGATGGGGGTAAAACTTTCCTTAGCTTAAGTGGGTAATGGGAGAAGAGCGGGGGTCTTGCTATACTTGATTGATTAAACTGTGGTTTTTTTTTTTTTTTTTTTTTATTATATTTTTTATTCATTTTAATTAACACACATTATTTCACATTCTACAACAGTGTTTTGACATTTGTGGTTGAAGTTGTAGAATTCCTACTCCTTGAGTATATTGAATAAAGTCAAAGGAGTGATTGCGGATGTTGCAGGTGATCGTTGTTTTACCATACATAGTCCATCCCTTGAGATACCACTTGGACATTGTCCTCCTTTCCTGTAACAGAAGAGCTGTCAACTTTAAGAACTCATCTCTGGGTGACATAAGAAGTCACCCCGTCCCTCCCACCCATTCACAGAAAAAACTTTACTCTGTGACAGCCACTCTCACACAACCCTGCATGGCACTTATTGTGGAAGTACAGACAGGCATTCTATCTCTGCAATTGGGGCCTGACTCTGGTTAAGGTGTCACCCGGCTGCTGCTGGAATAAATGATGTGATTAGACCAACGATGGACCCAATGGGAAGTGTCCACATCCCCAAAACAGAGGGAGATGGGCTTTAATCACGTGTCACAATATGTGTGAATTACAGTCCTGCCTAATGTGCTCTGTGAATGGTGGCAGTGCCAAGAAAGCGACCCTCTGCAGGCGGGGTGTAGTGGGGCAGCCACTTGCATAGAACCTGTGCAGTACCCAGAAGATCGCAGCTATCACTGTAATAGTGACAACTACTACAGTGGTTTCCAGCTTTTCCAGTATTCCATCAGGTATGAGATATGTATACCCACATAAGGAGCAGGCTTTTTTCTGGCAATCTTTTTCTGTACATATGGTAAAAAAAACAGCATTTGTTTGCTGGAAAATTATTTAGAACCCCCAAACATTGTATTTTATATATATATATATATATATATATATATATATATATATATATGTATGTATTAGCGATAAAAAAAAAAAAAAAAAAATTATATATATATAATATATATATATATATATATATATATCTCAATAATATTATATATTATCATCAATAATATATATATATTATCAATAATAATATATATATATTATCAATAATAATAAAATATATATATATAAAATCAATAATTATATATATATTATTATCAATAATAATAATTTTTTTTGCAGAGGCCCTAGAGAATAAAATGGCGGTCATTGTAATTTTTTATGTCGGGTTTTGCACAGCTATTTTTCAAACGCAATTATTTTGGAAAAAATACACTCTCGTGAATATATACCCCAATTTTTTTGTAAAATATGAAAGATGATGCTATGCCGAGTTAATAGATACCTAACGTGTCATACTTTCATTCAGTTGAGTGGAGGCCATCTTTCCTTTGCTCATCTCTGTGCCCTGGTGCCAGCAGCACTGAATCGGTTCACGAAGCTACTGATCAGCCAGGTAAGACCGGGAACCTCCGGAAAGTGGCAGGAGGGACAGCCCTCCCTCTGCTTCTAAAAGTAATCCAGCTGCAATTCCACCACTCGGATCACTTTTAACAGAAAGCCTGGCACCTTAGCCATAACTCTGGTAATAAACGTCAAACTAGTTAGACGGTCGGTAATTGGATTAGGAGAGAAGGAGAAGCTCCTCTAAGTGCAGCAGACCACTTTAATATAGTATAAAAGTAGGAACACTCAAATTTAGGTAGATTAATACAGGCATGTTAAATGTAAGGTGTTGGACACCAAGTAGAACGGCTGTCACTGGTGCCCACTGTGTCCGCGTCTTGTTGGAGCAGGGTGGTGACAGGAGGGAGACCGCTGTGGAGCCAGCCAGCGTGCACGTACTTAATGGCAGCTGGAACGCACGCTGGAGCGCAACGTCGGTGTGGGCGTGATGACGTTAGAGACCAGGATGCAATGCGACGCGTTTCGGAGCATGTGCTATCCTTCGTCAGGAGCTTGACCTTAGAGCCATACAGACCCTCCAATTCAAGTCATCCTAACCATCTTTACCTACTATCAGACTGTTGCGGACTTGGTTTCAGTATTTGCGCTGATTATTATTTTCTCTTTTTTCACTTGGTCGGTAATTGGTTACTCACAATGTGCCAAGTATGAAATCTATAGAATTCTTGGAGTTCAGATTTAGGCATAGGAGCTTCTTCCTTTGGTCTTCGCATCAGCATTTTGGCAACCCATTTCCTCTGCATATGCTGCCAGGGATGACCATTCCCTTGCCTTAGCTAGGAGTTCCTGGTGTTGTAGAATCCTAGTGGAAAAGCTTAACTATTAATAAGATCGGTAACTCCATGATGTGTAATGTCTAGTACACATGATCAGAAAATTGGATGGAAAATACAGCTTTCCAAATGATTGTATAATAATCTGATGCTTAGTACACAGCTTTGAAGAGCCAATCACGACAGCTCATGTGGAAGTATCTGAAGGAACAAGTACAAATACCAGAACCAATGATTTTTGTTTAATCCGTACAGTATTCGCCTGAAAAAATCGTAATAGCAAGGTCACGCATGCTCAGAAACGAAAGAATACAATACATTCCGTCACTTCCAAACTTGTATTCTGCCTTACGAGAATTTTTGCAACCTTAGTAAACTCTTCATTCTCGATTATGAGACTAGAATGCAAAGAAAGAACCAAAACGGATGACCATTTGTCTGATATTCCCATCCTGTGTACGAGGCTTAAGGCTGTTCTGCTGAAATTGCATTGTACTATTTTTATCTGGTCAGTGCTTAGTGGGGTTTCCCTTTAACTGACAGCCAGGCAGAAGGACTATAATTATGTCATTATCTTTAAGTAATGTTTGTCTGGAGCATTGCTCATCTAGTCTAACTAGTCTTGCCTATGGTAGTTTGGCTTTGTTTTCTGTGGGTGAAGGAAAAGCTGCTTGGTAGCCATGTGAGTCACTCTCTAGTAACTTTCTCTCTGCTTTCAGTTTTATTATTTTCCTTTTGTTGTTGTTTTATAGGCTAGATAAAGACTATTGTCTGTTAGCTGAAGCCTGGTTGTGGAATAACGTAAACCTTTATAAAGTCTTTAAACATCTTTACTACATCAGTAATGGCGGCCGTAGATGGATTGACTCTTGGCTGGTTCAGCAGGGATTGACTAAGATTCGATCCATCTATGGGAAGGCTGGTTGTACTGAAGTCAACCCTTCAATTGCCTTCAGTACAACCAGTCTGTGATATTATTGTCATGCAATCAATGCCAGCGGTCTTCTGCTGGCTGGGAAGGCTCCCCGCCAGCCGGGAAGGCTCCCCACTGGCCAGGAGGACTCCCCATCGACCAGGAGGGCTCCCCATCGGCCAAGAAAGCTCCCTATCAGCCAGGAAGGCTCCCCAGTGGCAGAACACTGCCCGCTCTGCTCTATGGGCAGTTGGATGGGAGATTATTGTCATGCAATCAATGCCAGCGGCTATAGCTGCTAGCAGAGATTGTCTTCTGCTGGCCAGGAGGGCTCCCCACCGGCCAGGAGCAGGAGGGCTCCTTATTGCCAGGAGGGCTCCCCAGCGGCCAAGAAAGCTCCCCATCAACCGAGGAAGGCTCCCCAGTGGCAGAACACCGCCCGCTCTGCTCTATGTGCAGTTGGATGTGAGATTATTGTCATGCAATCAATGCCAGCGGCTATAGCTGCTAGCAGAGATTTGTCTTCTGCCAGCCAGGAGGGCTCCCCACTGGCCAGGATGGCTCCCCACTGGCCAAGAAGGCATCCTTAGTGGCAGAACACCGCCCGCTCTGCTCTATGGGCAGTTGGATGTGAACGGACTGGCTTTCCATTTACACCGGACTGCCATCCAATCTGATTCAGCCAGACAAATAAGAATAGATCCAGTCAGTTTTTGCTGGATCTGAGTAAGTCAAGTGTAAACGGACACAAGCCGTTTACATCCAATTGTCCATAGAGGAGAATGAAGGATCCAATCAGGCCGCCTGAAAAAAAGACAGGTGGACCCGATTGGACCGCTCATGTGAAAGGGGCCTTGTGTAGACACCCGGCTTCATTTCCTGCATTTTTATGATGCCTGGACTGTACACTGGACTGTATATGTGCTGCAATCATTGTACACATTTAAAAAAAATATTGGGGAAAGTAAAATATTTTGACAATAGAGACTTATAAATTCTTCTGTCAAAAGCTCCGACCTTCTGGCATTCTTGTTAGCTTTACTTTTGCTTTAAGCTGTCTGTACAGTGTGTACAACAAAGCAGAATTTGAGAGGAGAATCAGCAGAACCAAGGTTTGGGTTCTGATGGTTATAATGAGTGCGGGAAGATGTCCGCTCTTTTATCCGTCTCCATCTATAATAAACCGGTCCAACGTGAGAAGTAAGAGGACAGGGGAGCCTGGTGCATACACCCATGTAGAAGTGGAGGCAGTGATCTCT